TTTTGGTATGTGTGTGACATCTCCTAATAAAAGTGTACATATTTGTGAGAAAAGTAAGAAGAGTATATTGGCTTAACGGTTAGGTCTGCCACAGAAGAATTTCTGTCAATGATTGTATATCGGAGCAATGCTTGAGTTATTTGGATCAGTATTTAATTTATTAATATTTTTAAATATACACAATATTTTATGTAATAAAATTTATATAGAAAAACACTCTTAGTTAAATATTTAGGCTAACTTAATATATTCAAATACTTCAACAATATTGATTCATAAGTTATACATATTTGCTATATATAATTATGTATTTAGAAAATATTATATGTATATAATTTATTGATTCTTTAAATGTGGACCGGTCCAACCCTGTCCGACTAACCAACTTTTGAAATGTTTTCATTGATTCAACCAATCATTGACCAATTTTTAACCGATTAGCTGACAATCGGTTCATTACAGTCAACCCAGTTGACCAAACCGGCCGGCTCCTTTCGATTTTGAGATCAATTTTTATGAGAAATTTGCACCATACACGTTAAATATAATTTTTTATTACATTAATAAAACCAAGTAATAAATAATTGCAATTCAACCAATTCAGCACTTTTTATTTATAAAACTACCAATGTCAATAAAACTTATCACCTTCCCAAAATCTAATCACGATATTCTCTCTCTCTCTCTCTCTCTCTCTCTCTCTCTCTCTCTCTCTCTTCTCTCTCTTTCTCTTCTTCTTCTTCTACAAATTCACGCTTAAAATTTTTTTCTCCTCCTACAGTTGAAATTTTTATTTGTTATTTTTTTCTTTATCGATCGAATACGGGCGACCCACGACTTAGTTGAGCGCAAGGTCGGCGGATCGATGGAATGGCAGACCTGTCGAGAGTAAGGCGACCTTAAACCTCAATTGGGCATTCACGCTTAAAAATTTTTTCTCCTCCTACAGTTGAAATTTTTATTTGTTATTTTTTTCTTTATCGATCGAATACGGGCGACCCACGACTTAGTTGAGCGCAAGGTCGGCGGATCGATGGAGTGGCAGACCCGTCGAGAATAAGGCGACCTTAAACCTCAATTGGGCACCACGAATTCGAGGAGGCGCGCTATCTCTCCAACGATCGGAGATAGCGGTTCGCCGACGCTAGCCCTCCAATTAAGCTTGGGGAAGGCGGCCCCAATTAGCCGACAACAAGGTTGAGAGTGTCAGGCTTTATCCGAGTGGCGACGAAGATGAACTCCGCCCTGGTAATGCCCATGATCTATGCGGCGGTTGCTACCGATGATGCTTCGCGAGGATATGGCCATTGATGGCGTGCTTACAGGGACGATGAATAAAAGGGAGAGATTTTTGTTTCGCGTATATAGACTGTATATGTTCAGTATATATTTCCGTCGGCGTGCTTCTCATTTGGCCCATACTTAATTTTTTTATTATATATTGACTACAACCACTGAACCACAACATATATAATTGTATATATTTTGTATATAATGACAAGATTGATTTATCTCGTGTTTTTGTATTCATGTCCTCCGTATATAATGTGTATATTTTTTGTATATAAGTCTATTATTGTATGTTGCATGTAGTAAACCATAAAATATACTATAAATATACCGAAAATACACGAGATGTAAAATAACACAAAAAATGATTACGAAGAGATAAAATTACATGGTTTATTTTATATATTTTCTGGACTTATATATTGTCTGTATATTTTCTGTATATCTTATGTATATATTATGTATATATTTGAAATTCAAAAGTTGTATCTTTCCTAATTTCACTCAACCACCTTTCTTGTTTTCAGGATTTAATTACTTTCCATGTTGGTTTTTATCTCTTTTATTTTAACGTGAAAAACGGTCCCATTATCAATGATAAGTTACAACTTTTTACATATGGTGACTGAATCTTGGCATATATGCAATTATTTTAACCAGATTTTTTAGGAATGCAATATTATAACAACCCATGGTATTTTTGCAAATCTTCTATTTTCGTTAAGTATATATATAATTGCGCCAATTTTTATTTGATAATATGTAATTTCCAGGGGCCCAACACTAGTTTGCTTCTCTTAACCAATTTCTAGGGGCCCAATACTAGTTTGCTTCTCTTTGTCCGCGCTCGGCTTTGGCTTATTTAATAAAGAGTTAATTGCATTTAAAATCATAATTTTTTGTTTAACTGCAAACAAAACTCAATTTTTTCAATTTGGTAAAAAAATACTAAATCTTTATTAAGTATTGCAATTGTATCTCACCCGTCGGACCGCCGCCAACCGCCGCTGCCAACCGCCACCCATCGTCGGCCAACTTCGCCGGATGTTGAAAATTTTTACATGATCTTGTAGTTATCCTCCATACCGACAACATATCCGAGTTTCACGAAAAAATTCCGACGATAAGACTTTCGATTTTCCGGTCTAAGGTCGTAGATCTTTCTATCACCTCCGGTATTCTTTCGCAAATTCTCGGTGACTCGCTTTAACCCATGTGAATCCGAAGATACCGTTGAACTCCTTTCGCAAAGCCGCATCTAGTGACGTCCACCTTCGCCAGAACCGGTGACTTTTTTCCGGCGACGATTTTTCCGGTCATTTTATTAAAGGTTTGGTATGGCCGGAAAATTGATTTTGAGACACAATTGCAATACTTATTAAAGGTTTGATATTTTTTTTGCCAAATAGAAAAAGTTGAATTTTATTTGCAATTAAACAAAATGTTAAGATTTTAAATGCAATTAACCCATTAACAAGTTTATATAAATTTAGTAGTAGTATTCGAGTTTGCCAGCAACTTGTGAAAGATATATATAACAAGGAACAATCTATATAGATTATAGTATGTGTCACAATAATGAATTACAGCTATAATTATAATGTTACATGATTCATTAGATAAATCAATTAACAATTCAATTTTAAAGTGACTTTATACTTTAATAAATTAATCACCGGAAGGCTGGTGAAACTCAGGCTCGCTTAACTAAATTAATCGACCTCAAGCCGCTTGAGTTTGCATTTATCGAGCTCAAGCATGTAGCATTTTAGCTCGATAAATGCCAACTCAAAAACTCGTCAATCTATCATACCAACAGATCACATATTATGTAGTTGGAGGATGGACTCAAACTGGAATGAATTTAAGCTGATCTTGAGCTCCTAACATTCAGATCGAGTCTTACCGAGTTGAGCGTAATTCATCTCATTAACTGAACAAAATGCCCTCGTTTATCAAATGAGAGTCAACCCGAAACTCGTGTCTTGACGAGTTGATTCGAGCCAAACCCACGAGCGAGTCAGCTTGTTTAGTAGTACTTATTACGATTGACATAATTACCTGTCCAAAATCCAATTACTTCTATCTTAGTACTACGTAACTTTAGACAAATGTTCTGGTCCAACTTGGACCATAATGTTATTGCTGGAAAATGATTCTCTATCAAAAGTAGTACTACCTCATATTCTTAATAGATGTCGTTTTAAGAAGTTGCACATTAATTAAGAATATTTTTTGTCAATAATAACCTTATTTAATGAAGATAGAGATGAATGTTTTGAGAAAAAGTGAAGAGTGAATATGAAAAGATGTAATGTATTTATTAGCTAAATGAGGGTAATAATAGAAAAATATGTACAAAAGATCCAAAACGACATTTATTTAACAATTAGTTGATAAAGCTAGAATGACATTTAAAAAAAATAGGAGGGAGTACTATATATTGTTGAAATTAACTTCAATATTAATGAAGTTAAACCATATAACATGGCAGTTATGGTTAATTATAGTGTTTGGAGAAGAGTTAAACCAATTACCTAATAATCTGGCATGAATAATAATTATTAAAGGTTCCTTGATTTTGAAATCTTCTAATTATTAAAGGTTCCTTTATTATGAATAAAAAAGAAAAATAAAATCAAATGTAAGTGATTGAATTTCATTATTAACTCAAATCCATAATTTATTTCAATTAAATGCCTTTTAATATTAGTTGTTTGCCCGTTCCTTTCAATTCAGGAGAATAGTAAATTAAATTAGTTTTTGGAGCTCTAAACAAACTTAATTTATCCAAATGTATTCATCGAATCGAACAAAGTCGAGCAGTTTATATTTGAACACCTCGTTTAACAAATGCACATATTCATTTAATAAACCCGACAAAGGCTCGGCTCGTATAAGCTCATCTGCTCGACTCAACTTATTTAACAAATTCAAAATCATAGACAAACTATCTGGAGCGTTAAATGCCCGTTTTTTAACAACTTAATCTCGATTATTCCATTTAAAAGTTTAAACACATGAAACAAAATATGATGGCTCATTTAATAATAAAAAAAGTTTGATTAGCTCTCGATGTCAACTCATTTAACTAAATAAACGAGACGAGCTCAAACTTTCACAAGTTAAACAATTGTAGCTTTCGTTGCTCATGTTACAAATAAGTGCACATATATGTATTTTTTACTGCACATATATGTTACAAAGAAATTTTAGAATTTCGATCTTTATATATAGTTTCTCTAGTGATGCACGACCATATTATATAGTTCGACTAAAAAATTCATCTTACTGTTGCGGCCGACCACCGACCGCCACAGCCCCGCCGCCAGTCTCCCGGAGATATGTGTCCCTGCAAATTACCCAAACTAAAAAGCATTCTCACCGCAAAGACGGGCTGCGTATGTGGCCCAAAATCAATAGACATAGTACAACCAACACCAAGGCCCAAAACTCAAAAAATTCCCGATCTAAAGCCCAGCCACCGTCCCTCCTCTTCCGGCACCTCCACACACGGAGGTCGGAAGCCCGCCACGGATTCCAATGTGGCGGACCACCGCGCCGGCGGTGGCGGCTCCCTCTTCCCTGAGCAAAGCTCCTCTACAACGGTCGCCACCGCCGGATGCCATAAGATCCACGACAGCCTCGCCGTCGTCCAAGATTCCGACGATCCGTACTTAGATTCCGGCGGTCGATGCTCCAGATGATCTTCGCGCGCGAAATCTACTCGACGGCCGAGCTGCAACAACTCCTCGACTGCTTTTTGCGGCTGAACTCGCCTCGCCATCACGAGACCATCGTCCGGGCATTCGTGGAGATTTGCATCGGCGGCGCCGCCGCAGCAGGGGAGGTGGCTGAGCCTGTATTTCCAGTGAGTTATTTCTGTGAGGGGGGTAGATAGTTATTTTTTGGGGGAAAAAGAAAAAAAAAATCTCTGGGTAATTGTATACTTTTCTCTAAGTCTTGAAAACTCGAGCTGGAGCAACATTAAAAAAATCGAGCCTAATTCCACAAGACCAAAGTGCGACTCTGCTCGGTTTATTTGCAGTCCTAGTTCCATTTTAGTTAACCTTCTAGAATAGTTAAAAACTTGTTAGATAAATGAATTCGAGTTGAGCTCGTTTATCTATATTAACAATTCGAATTCTAAGTGTTTGTTTTATTGAGCGAATTGGTAAGGTGGATAATTTAATGCAGCCTATCAAATTCTTTACACAAACTTAATAAATATCATTGAGCTAGTTTGTTGAATTGAATAACACTAAAATGAGTAACATTTAGACATGTTATGCAACTTATTCAAGTGTTTGACGAGATGACGCTGAGTCGAGTCGATGTAGACCCATCATCATGGCTTTTGGGCCCTCATTTTCGACCTTAGTTTAGCTCGTTTTAAGCAATGTTTATTTAGTAAATGTTTATATTAAAAATTTAAAATTCTATAAACACCCGACATTATTGGTAAAGACATTTAAAAGACCAATTGGGATTTTTTTAAAATTTTAACTTGATCCATTCATCATTAGTAAGAAAACACATTATTCATCGATTTCATATTTACACTTTTTTACTTCTATTTCTTTATTCTATCTATAGAAGACAAAAAACGTTGTGGAACGTAAACACGATTTTAATGAAAAAAATAATAATTTATTTGATACATCAAACACGACGTCACCATCCATATAAGCAAACGTGTTCAGTTATTCCTCGTGTTCTCAAACCAGACAAAAAGCCTTTTCTTCTCCAATCCTCTCCCAAAAGATAATAAAACCCGAACCGTTTAGCAGGATCCGACCCGCATCCGGAATCATGAACGACGCCGACGTTTCGAAGCAGATCCAGCAGATGGTCCGCTTCATCCGCCAGGAAGCGGAGGAGAAGGCCAACGAGATCTCCGTCTCCGCCGAGGAGGTTCGGCTTTCCGGTCCCCTTCACGATTTGCAGTTTTTTTGCCCCAAATTTAGTCCGATTGTTGTGATTATTGCTTTTTTTTTTTTTCTGTGTGTGTGTAGGAGTTCAATATCGAGAAGTTGCAGCTGGTCGAGGCCGAGAAGAAAAAGATCAGGCAGGAATATGAGCGCAAGGAGAAGCAAGTCCAAGTCCGCAAAAAAATGTAAGATTTATGATTTATGATTTTTTATTTATTACGTGTTTTGATTTTTTTTGCTGATCGTGTTGGGTTGAATCGAGCTGTTGATTGAACCTTTCAGAATGAAGTTCTGTTTAGATTTGTCGGATATGTGATTATTGATTAAAAAGTAATGAATTATCCACATTAACTTGGGCGTCTCAATGCTGATCCATGAGTTGTTGTGTTAATTCTCTTTTTCGTTTCTTTGTTCTTCAATTTTATTGGGAGATCTGTACTAGGAAAGATTGCATTATTATAATATTCTTCAGCGGTCATTCTCCTGCTCAGGAATTATAGAATTTAAGTAATCATGACATGAGATTTTGATGAATCTTAAACCTACCTTATTACATTGATTATCATTATCCAAGTCTTGATCTCTTTGGGGTTTCAGTTTGTTAGAGTGCTAATACCGTGATGAACTCGAAGTTAATTCAATTTGATTAAGAATTGCTGGTAATTTGGTTGTTGTAGCGAGTACTCGATGCAACTGAATACTTCTAGAATCAAGGTCCTTCAAGCACAGGATGATTTGGTAAATTCCATGAAGGAGGCAGCATCGAAGGAGCTTTTGAATGTCAGCCGTGACCATAACAACTATAGGAACCTTCTGAAGGATCTCATAATTCAGGTTCTGAAAACTAAGCCCTGATAGATTATATAATGTCTGCCATTTGCAAGTAATGTTTCAAAATGTGACATTTCAATAGATCTCTGTCATTAAATTTAGTGGAAAAAGAATTACTTTGATTAGGTATCCTTGTCTTCACTCTTCTGTCCTCTTGCATTAGGCTGATATATATGTGATATTCACAGCATTGAGAAGTGAATTTCTAAGATTTAAGTTCCGATAAGTTTCTGAAAGATGTGGACCTGCGGTGTTAACGAAATCCAGGTAGAGAAGATGCAGTGAATTTTATTGATTTTGAGTTGGGTCAGCTGTATAATCTTATTTATATATGGATAACGATAGTGGTATTTTCTTTAGCTGAAATTCTTTCCGTTGCTCCTATAGAGAGAGTATGTAGTGAGAACATGTAGAGGTGGCAATCATGTAAGTTGATATCATAGTTATGAGAATTGGATTGGATGTTCGACTGGGAGGTTCACCTGTGAAGCTTATGTCAGAAGAATCAGCCAAGAACTTGTCCAATTTGATTTTCTTATTCTTTAATTTGTTTTAGTATATCTTTAAATAAATAAATAAAACAAAACACATCTTTAGACTGTTCCCTCTCCTATTCACTAATTCCGAGTCAAGAGTTAAGAGAAGGCAAACGCTTCTCTCTCATCCCTCCATTATTTACTCTCTATTTGTTATGTAGTAATAATATCATCAGTTATTTAATTCCTTCTATTATTTTCAAATATATAATTTTGGAAAGTCTTTTTCAAAGATTCTATATAATATAATTTCTATACGAAAATGAGATTGTTAGCTTTCAGAAAAATCTAAGGATATAGGGGATATTTATGTTTGGTGATAATTTACTGCTTGGAATATAATATAATGTTTAAAATATTAAATAAATTACCATCTGCTGGACCACAATACTATGACTGAGGAAACTTTAGCTTTTCTGGTTTGATAACTGACTAGGATTCGAGAAATTGGATCCAGTCAAATCTTGATGTGTGTAAACTTGTTGATTAGTGAGATGCGGATGGGACCAGGCACCACTAGTTACATTTTTCTTCTTCTTTTTTTTTTTCCCTTGTTTCGTTATTTATGACTTGGTTTCAGATTTAATTCCACTAGGCAGCAGTCTTGAGCAATCACTTCATAGTTTTTAAATTTTCAATTCAGGGGATGATTGCAGAGTATACTCTGCTATAAACTTGAGTTGCCATATTTCTTCTTGGTTTAATTGGCTTTAAGCATGACTTTCACATGTTCGTCTGACAATGTACTTCTTCATTTCAGAGTTTATTGAGGCTGAAGGAGCCATCTGTGTTATTGAGGTGTCGTAAAGAGGATGTTAATTTGGTGGAGTCCGTTTTAGATTCAGCAAAGGATGAATATGCGCAGAAGGCCCAAGTTCATCCACCAGAGATCATAGTTGATAATGTTCACCTCCCGCCTGCCCCCTCGGGTCGCAATTCGCACGGTCCTTTTTGGTAACAAAAGCTCTTACTCAAATTAAACGAACTTCATTGTGTAGGAACTTCTGATGAATTGAAGTTAAAGCAAATGCAGACAAAAAATTCTCTACTCAATGATTGATTTTTCTCAATTCTTATCCCTCTCTTACTCTCACCCTTTTGGTTCTTTGCAACCTTTATTACTTTCATATCTAGACTTATAGAAGATTTTAAAAAGGCAAAATTGCACTTTTAGTCCTGTTGGTTTAACGTCATAGCAATTTTAGTCCCAATATTCCAACTTTTCGGCTTTTGGTCGTGTGATTTAATATTTTGAGGACTGATATTGCAACAAAATATGAAAACACAGGACGAAAAGCCGAAAAGTTGGAAACTTGGGACAAATTGCTATGACGTTAAACCAACAGGACTAAAAATGCATTTTTGCCTTTCAAAATTCAGAAACTACAAGA